ATACAATTGACATTGCTGGATTCCTTGTAAGACCAGGAATATTTTGAATATAAATGTCATATTTTGCACAAAAGATAACATATTTACTCAGAAAACATTTTATCTAAAATTTGTATGTCTAATGCAAAATATATGATGTTTATATTCAAAATGATCATCAAATTATAAGAATTCCAGCAATGTAAATTATATTCTGACCGGGTAATTTGTATGAATTTTATGAGCTAAAACAAATATCTTCAGTTAATAAAAAAAAAATATATTCTTCACAGGGTAACAGATGGTCGGTCGGTCCCTCCCTCCCCCCCACCCCCCACCAACCGTCCCAAGGAGATGTGTGGGAAAACCAGAATATTTAACTTTTTTGTAATAAATAATACCTCAAACTAAAGTTAGGATAATATAATTGACATTGCTGGATTCCTTGTAAGACCAGGAATATTTTGAATATAAATGTCATATATTTTGCACAAAAGATAACATATTTACTCAGAGAAAAAATTTTATCTAAAATTTGTATGTCTAATGCAAAATATATGATGTTTATATTTAAAATGATCACCAAATTATAAGAATTCCAGCAATGTAAATTATATTCTGGCCGGGTAATTTGTATGAATTTTATGAGCTAAAACAGGCAGTCAGGCAGGGTGGCGGGTGGGGCAAATCTAAAAATAGCATCTGGAGCCGGACACTCACCGTGTATATGTGGAAAAAATCCGTGTTAAGTGAAAGTTCAGCTCTGGCGAGGCACCGCGTATATGAAAAAACGCGTTAAGTGAAACCGCGTTAGGCGGGGTAATGACTGCCCCAGTCGTACTAAAAATTTTTCAAATTACATATATTCAAGTCCCGACGTTAGTGATCGCGCTGTGTACTGACAAAATTTCATTTGTAATTCCCTTTAAAATGGCTTGCAAGCTTAAAAGTGAGAGTTTTGTGGTGCTGAGAAGAAAAAGAGACCAATTTTAGATTTCACACTTTCGACTTACGACCTGGAATTGGGTCCCTAACCCTGTCGTAAGTCGGGGACTGCCTGTACAGTACTGTACTATCTTAGTACCGCAACAACCAAGTTCATATGGCACTGGAGACAATTAATGCTAAACGGTTAAACTAAAATCAAAATTACAGAAAAGAAAAAACTTAAAAACTACCCAAAAGGAAATGACAAGAACAAAGAAACCTGTAATAGAGGAGGCAAGCCTCCTCCAAGGTACAGCAGTAACGCGCATAACTCTCACCAATATGTCAAGGGTTTCGAGCTTCAGCCCGGACACACGTGAGAAGGGTGTTATCCAGTGTGACCCTACCAAACACCACAGGTTTCCTGGTCCCCGGTTTTCTCCTGCACTAACTCTGGATAGACCACCCAAATGACTAGTAAACTGATAAGTGGCGAATATGATAAAAAAAAAAAGAAGCAAGATGTGAACTCTGAACAATCTGCCAGAATGTTGAGACAGCACCAAGAGTGAGCTCATTCAAGACTAACCTGACCAACACTGTCACAGATACAGTTGTATATTCTGGAGTCAGTACATGCCCAACACTTGTGATCGACTGCTCAAGCATTACAGAGGGGAGCAAAAACCCAAGCCACTGGACCTCATCATAACAAACGAGGAAGGTATGGTGGTCAAACTGGAATACCTAGCCCCAGTTGGCACCAGCCACCATGTAATGCTGTCTTTCAGGTTCAATTATTACTCAATGCATGACATAACCAGGCCAAGGTGCAAATATTACAAGGGTAATTATGACGGGATGAGGGGTATTCACTGGCCTGACTCACTAAGGCATAAGAGCGTGGATGCTACACTAAATACCATCGCTAGTAATGTAAATCATTTGATCGAGAAATATATACCCAAGACCAAACCCAGTGCCTCTAGAAATACAAGGAGACCACTTCACATGAACCATGCGGCGGTCGACAAAGTTAAGAAGAAAACCCAGATATTCAAGACGTGAGTCAGGTCAAACGATGAGCTGGACAGGAGGATGTATACAAGAGCCAGGAACCAAGCAGAGGCAGAGTGTAGAAGTGCTGAAAAAGAGTTCCAGAGGCTGGTTGCAAGTGAGATCAGGACAAACCCAAAGTCGAAATTAAAAACACGAGTAGGATTATCAGATTTAAGACTTGATGATGGTAGGTATGCAGAGTCTGACCAGGACAAAGCCGAGGCATTCAACAGCTTCTTTTCCCCAGTGTTCACAAGAGAGGATGCGAACACTTCTTGTGTTTGAGGATAGGCTGTACGATACAGCACTGACCCACATTGTGTTCACAGAAGAGAATATAAGAAATAGACTGTCAAAGCTAAAGGTTCATAAGAGTCCCGGACCGGACATGGTGCATCCCAGAGTGTTGAGGGAGTTGTGCAACGAGCTTGCTGAGCCCCTGAAGATCCTGTTCAGTAAATGCCTGGATGAACAAAAAGTCTCCAGTGATTGGAAAATGGCTTATGTGAGCCCTATCTTCAAGAAGGCCAATTGTCACTCCACAAACAACTATAGACCAGTGAGCCTGACAGGCATAATATGTAAAGTACTTGAGAGCATTATAAGAGATGCCATGATGGAACATCTACAACGAAACAACCTCGTAAATGATTACCAACGCGGTTTTATGCTAGGGTGCTCCTGCTTGACAAATTACTAAGGGTAATGGATATTTTGACCCAAATTCTATATCAGGGTGGTAATATCGACAATATTTACCTAGGTTTTGCCAAAGCATTTGACAGTGTACCACAGGGCAGTGTATTTGGCCCGCTGCTGTTTGTTTGCTTTATAAATGACATGCCTGAAGCTGTCCAATCCTCCATACAAATGTTAGCTGACGACGCCAATTTATTTGGGGAAATTAAGAACCAAGCGGACTGAGAAGAGCTGCAGAAGGATCTCTGTGAGCTTCAAGAACAGTCAAAGAAATGGCTGCTGAGATTCAATGTCACGAAGTGTAAGAGGATGCACCTGGGATGTACCAACGGTAAGGAGCTGTATCATATATCCCAACGGGATGAAGAGACTTCATTAAATGATATGGAATGTGAAAAGGACCTAGGTGTGTAAGTTGACAATGAACTGAAGTTCTCAGGCCATTGTGAGAAGAAGGTAAACTAGGCAACTAAGTTATTAGGTCTTCTAAGAAGGTCGTTCAGATATCTAGATGGTCCATCCTTCATAACGATCTTCAAGAGTCTGGTCCCGTCTGGTCACTGAGATATGCTAGGGACTGTCAGTTGATTGAAAATGTCCAAAGGAGGGCCACCAGATAGGTGCCTGCACTGTGGTACCTCAGCTACCAGGAGATGTTTAAGTTCCTAAACTTGCCTAGCTTGTACTACAGATGGGAAAGGGGAGATCTGATTGAGGTGTACAAGCATCTCAGAGGGCACTACTCAGTTGATTTTCCTTACCTGGAGCTGGTGGACGCTCGCCCCACAAGGGGACACAGCTCAAGGTTAAAGAAGCCGCAAGTCCGGATAACTGTGACGGGTAACTTTTTCGAAGTGAGAGTTGTGAACTCTTGGAACAATCTGCCAGAGAATGTGGTGACGGCACCGAGTGTGAGCTCTTTCAAGACCAGACTTGACCAACACTGGAGCAAGTTCAGATACATTCAGGAGCCGGTGCATGCCCAGTACTTGCCAACAGTGCATAACAGAGACGTAACCGATCGCCCAAGTGGCTAATGAGTCGATAAGTGAAGAGGATAAAATTAAAAGTAAAAGTTAACAATCCAATCAGTGGCAAAGAGGACAATAATTAAAGTTAATGCTTACATTACTGAACTTTACTGCTGTTCAACTTTATACAGCAGAGTAAAAATATTACAACTTATTTGAAGAGGGATGGAATATATATTTTTGCCCTGTTTAAAAAAAAGAAAAAAAAAAGCAACTAACAACGAACTGAAAAAATTACATTAATTTATTTCAAGAATTCAATACATGTACAGTAATCATTTTAGTTAAAGAGGAATGTGTATCAATAACTATAGTAAGTTCTACATCAACACCACTAAATTTTAGCAATGTCCCGAGGCAATTTTAGTGTACTGTAGGTGATATCAGTACCCCTCAGACTGCATTCCCAATAAATACTGCAAAAAATTACTCGAAATGAGAAGATTTAAGTGTTGTGCAACTTATGTACAAAATTTACGTAGGACGTACACTAATTGATTTTGCACCGAGTTATTGCATGAACTAAAAAATTAATTCCAAATGGACCCATCTAAATAATTACACTGAATAATTTGAAGTTTAAATAATATTTCTGGGATAATTTATCATTTTAATTTTTTACTTTTATCATCTTCGGCACTGCTAGGCTCGTTGGCCCCGCAATGTTGGCAAGTATTGGACATGAAGTGGCTACTGTACTTTCGTCTGTTCAACTTTGTAACTGAGGCCTAGGGTCAGTTTGTAGCAAGTCAGTTAATCAGCTGGCAGAGGTACCGGTAGATGTTTCGAGTCACTACAGTTCTTTAGTACTTAATCTATCGTATTCATATTCTGATAAATTAAGGGTTTAATTGTCTGTGTTGATCTCATAAGTCCTGCATTTGGGGAAGCAAAAATTAGCTTATGAAACACAATGGTAACAAATATCATAATTAGAACAAGAAAGATAACTGTATAGAATTTCAGTACATCATCTCTATCTTTGGCCACCACACTACATGTGGCAAGGGGGAATTTGCATTACTAAAGTTTTTCATCTTGTTTGTGTTCCCTTTATGATAACTTTATTACCAATGAGTTTTACACTATAATTTTTGCTTCCCCAAGTGTGGAAATTATCAGATCAACAAGTTATTATTCCTTAAAATATCAATGTAAATACAATATATCAAATACGAAAGAATTGTAGTGACTACAAATCTTTTGCCAGCCAATCAGCTGCCTTACTAAGAACTGACCCTAGGCTTCAGTTGCAAAGTTCAAATGAACAGACTTTGCTTTTCACCATAGAACAAACTTTCTTACCTCAATAAATCTATGAAATGAGGAGCTCCAGTAACATTAAGTGTCAATTTTGACTATCACTGGTGTGTACCTCGTTTCAGGTGCAGCAACATTCTACCCGGTCTTCCTCTCCTACACATTCTTCAAGACAACAGTAACTAACCCAGGCAATTGGATGTCATCTGCAAAGTAAAATGTTATGAATAGCATATACAGTACAGTACTTATAATGATAATTCAGTTTAGTAAATTGTGAAACATTTAAGGACAATACTTAAAATAGGATGAATGTTACTCAGGTATTCACAAAGTTTGAACAAGTGTAAAATAAACTATTGTAATAATCAAATTTTATTTCAGGAAGTTAAGTAGCAAGTCAAGGTACTATTTTGTTACCGGTAATTGTTTTATGTAAACTTTACAGTAACAACCTAGACCAGTTCATAATATAGTTTAGTAATTTAAATGTCATTTCTTAATCTTATAAGCTTAGGGCCCAAGCGGCTAATGAGCCATCAGTGGTAAAGAGGATAAAAGTAAAGTAAAAGTAATATCACCCAATTCACTTAAATAAATTCAACCTTACTCTTGACTTTAGCAACTCTTCACATCCATCACTAATATTACAGTTAGAACGAACCACGGACTATCATCAATGTTTTAAAGGATCATGAGCTGACCTTCTCTGCCTTCATCTTCTAAGGTAGAACCCCTTTTCAATTTGTTGAATTTGCAAGAACATCCTATCAATGTCAGTCCCCTACCAAAGAAAACTTCTGGCAACATGGATGTTTCAGGTTCCTTAGACAAGAGTCTTCAATTCCCTGCAGTTCATAAAGCTTTGATAATTCTGCAAAAGACAAATGGTAATAATGAAGCAGACTACTAGCACCAGAAGACGTAGTTCGATTAAGTTAAAAATTTCCATAGACGTTCTTTGGACAATAGTAAGCAATAAAAACGATACAACAACTTTTTATTTTATTTATAAGTATTTTTTACTTTTTCTCTGCAATCATAAATCACCTGTAGTGGACAGGGCATGAAGGATGAGGGAAATTGCAGGGTAAAACACGGTGAAAAACTGAGTATATGACAATGAAATGACGTCTCTACATGCATTTTAAGCAAAGAAAATAATTATTTACTGTAAATATTCCTCTGAAAATCTAACTATGGCTCGATGCTGAGGGAAAGAAGACAGAAAACTGTGTAGGATCCCTCTATTGCTCTTGATAGTTTTGTCCAGGGCTAGTTTGAAGCTTAGTGCCAACTGTTTGTACCTTTGAACATTTATTAAATTATTTTCAAAATGTAAATAAATATATAAGAACATAAGAAAATAAGGAGTCTACAATAGGCCGGTTGGCCTGTGCATGGCAGCTCCTGTCGAGAGTTACTACCACTCTCTATCATCCATGAATCTATCCAGGCCCCCCTTTGAAACTTTCCAGTGTTCCTGCACTTACTACAAAGTTGCTAAGCTTGTTCCACTCGTCCACCACCCTATTTGTGAACCAGTTCCTTCCTATCTCCCTCCTAAACCTAAACTTATCCAACTTAAATCCATTGCTCCGAGTCCTATCCTGCTCGGATATTATAAGAACTTTATCTATATCCCCTTTATTGATTCCTTTCACCCACTTAAATACTTCTATCATATCTCCCCACACTCTTCGTCTTTCTAGGGAATGCAAGTTTAGTTTCTTTAACCTATCCTGATATGGAAGGGTTCTAAGTCCCGGAATCATTTTCGTCATTCTTCGCTGCACTGACTCTAGTGAATTGATATCCATTCTACAATAAGGGTACCAGAACTGATCCGTGGCCTGACTAGCGCAAGATATAGTTGCAATAAGACCTCTGCACTCTTATTACTTACACTTCTAGATATAAAACCCAATACTCTGTTTGCCTTATTTCGAACATTAACGCACTATTTTCTAGGCCGTAGGTCCGAGCTTACAATTACCCCTAGGTCTCTTTCACAAGTCGACTTCTCTAGGTTGATGTTGTTAAGGCTGTATACATTGACAGTATTTCTTCTTCCAATATTAAGTACGCTGCACTTAATGGTGTTGAATTTCATTTGCCATTTTTCAGACCACCCCTGCAGTTTATTTAGATCCTCCTGTAATGCATTTGCATCCTGCCCTGAATTAATCTGCCGCCCTATTTTGGTGTCATCAGCAAACTTGCTTATGTCACTGCTGATCCCAGTATCTAGATCGTTTATGTAGATTATGAACAAGAGTGGGCTTAGTACTGACCCCTAGGGAACCTCACTGGTTACACGGCATCATCATCTTGTTTCTTGTTTATACACACATTAACCATATACAGTACTTCAAACCTGTAAAATATATGCACAAAGGAATACAGTAATTAATGTCATAATTATATTTTTATTAAGGAGGTCATTTTACACAATGAAACAATCCCAGCCACTGATGACAAGTGGGATACCGCTGAGCGAGGCCAATACTGTACACTGTTAAGCCTTACACACACACAAAATCCCACCAGTGTGTTTCACTACAAAAATGTCATCAAAATAAAAAATAAATAAAAAATCTCACGAGTTTTAGCTTTTTTCCCTCCAAGTTTTGAAGTTGTTTAGATAAAAAAATAAAACCCTCCCTGTTGAAGCACGTACTATATGTGTAAAATAATGAAAACAGTATTTCTTCGAGTCCCAATTACACTGTTAGGTTAGATTAGTTTAGGATTGGTGGGATTTTGTGGTATAACTTTCCACTCTCAATATTCATCCCTATCCTGTGTACAAGTTGTGTAGATGTACTCACTCCTGACACTGTGGGTCAACAATACATGTGTCTATCCAACATACAGGAAACCCATGACGGTAACTATGCACATCCACCTTCTCTTAAGCCTTCACACTTGTTGAAATTAATTTCTTTTAACTTTCTTACCTAATTGGATTATTTACAATATCTAATACAAGGAAAAATAACACATCTCATACTAAAACACCTTTGAAAATAGTGGGTGAATTATATCAATTAACTGATTTTCAATTCACTGAACTGTTTTGTACTTTGCCAGGGAATGACAAAAGATCTGGATCACGATGTTAAGACGCAGTGCGATGAATATTCTTCCCCTGATTTAACAATGTACCTCTCTGTATCTGGTTGTCCTAAAACTGAAAAAACTATGGTTCAAAAATAGTATTAAAATTACTGTACAATGAGATTCAACTTAATAAAATGTATGCATTCACTCAATACCATCTAAGAAAGAAACAATACTGTATATTTTTTTAAAGATATTCTCTCCATCAATTTTGTCTGGGCTAAGTAATCGAGTTTACTTAAGGTCGAGTCTTAAGACAATTTAAATGTCATTTTGTATCATTATTTTTAAATTTTAGCTTAAACCAGCCACTTTGATACATTCTTACATTTTCAGGTAAATGGAACATTTATCATACAAATATCTAAGCATCTAGAATTCTAGATCCAAATTCATAACAAATCAATAGCAAATGGGTGGATTAGTGGGAAACTGATTACAAATATCATTATAATATTCACACTCCCGCATTGTTGTCATCTCCAAATTATTACAACGTTCTCTTATCTCTACTGAATACAAGCAGGAACAGTCTGGGCTGCAGCACCACTACCTTGCCTGTTAATAAATACAGTCAGCCACATCACTTGTAAAAATATCTGCGGTGGCAGCACCTTGAACATGTAATGGTAATAATACTTTATAGGACAATGAAATCAAATGTCATTAATTCTTGAGTGAAAACTTACATACTCTAGCACTGTACCCAGGCACTGTACCCTGACACTACCTTGGCACTGTACTCCAGCACTGTACCTTGGCACTGTACCCTGACACTACCTTGACACTGTACACAATGACATGGCCAAATTACCCTGAAGGAGGAAGCTACTGAAGCGCTGTGTTTATCCAGGAGTTTAATTATAACATGATAAACTTTTCATTTGTTCAGTTTCTCAACAAAGATAAATTGTACTGTATATACATAACTCAGCCAGATAGCTGTACGACATTTTCTTTCTCTTTACATTTTATTTTTCTGGCTGCTACAGAAGATTAGGAAAATATTACTCACAAAATTTAATGGAAATTAGTGAGTTGGTGTTCGATAAGAAAATACAAATTGAGGAAAGCTTGACATGATTGTTGCCTAAGACACAAATACCTGTACTGATGAGTGTATAACTGACAGTAACAGTGGTAAGGGAAGGATGAAATATGGAGTGAATGAGATGAGTAAGTGTGTCTAAGAAGCAGTAGCCAAGTGTGAGAAGAGTAAAAGTGTGTGTGTCACACACAGAGTGGTGAAATGCATCTAGTGTGGCAGCATTATGTTAGTGTTAAAGGTGCAAGCACTGCTTGCTACCTTTCGCTTTCGGCTGCCGCCACTGGCTAGCCCTCGTGGCGAACAGGGAAGCAACTTGCTTAAGTCTTCCCCTGCCAGTACACAGCCTCCTCACCATCAAGACTCCTGCTGTGCCTAATTGTAGCAACACACGGTAACTGGGTGCCTCATGGTCCCAGGCTAGATCAGTGGAGGATCTCGGAGTAGCAGTGGGCCCCAGAGGGACAGCGCATAAGCTTACTGGCATGTGGACACGTCCTGGTGCCTACCAACCACCACCCCGCTGCCTTGTGGATTAACCTTGCCAGGTACAAGGCTACGGGAGTAAACCCCGAACGAAAAATTTGCGGTGATGGACAGGCTACTAAGGTGAAACCCAAAAAACTGGGCTATCGGCAGTCCATTGCAACTCTCCCTCTAACCAGTCATTGCAACACTTGCACCACTGTTTCAGGAAAATGGAGAGTCAAGATGTGTGGTTGCAGCCTGTGCTCCTGCTTCACCACATAAATCAACTCACTCACAGCCATCACCCAGCTCATCATACCTCTCATCATCATCAAAACCCCTTATACCCCCCTAAAGTCTTATGCCGATGGACGAGTGGCGACAGGGCCAGGCAGAGATGACTGCTGGGAATCTCTAGTCACAACTCTGCACATGGGCGGCACAGATAAGATGGTCGTTTATGCATTGGGATCTAGGCAGCAGTGCAATCCGGTCCTGTCTGTGTGACTGAGCAGCCCTTCCGAGGAGCCACTCTGCTCACCCCACATGGGGAGGGGGCTAGAAAAGGTGCCCTAAACATAGCCTGCCTAAAGACCCAACCTGACTGGGCAACCGCACCCAGTAAGGTCATCCTTATCCGGTCGAAAACACACTCAAAATCACAGATCTAAACAAAAACAAACCATGCAACCTCTTATAGTTGCTGCATAGAATGTCAGGACCCTTCTGGATACTGACACAAATGCGTGTCCTGAAAGAGCCGGCTAGGTACAACATCGACATTGCAGCCTTCAGAGTCCCGGCTCCCAGACGAGGGCTAACTCACAGAACGGGGGTCTGGCTTCACCTTCTTCTGAAAGGGTAAGCCTGCTGCGGAGAGAAACCGCATTTATGGAATTGGCTTTGCCATCCGCCAACACATCCTACACAGTAGAACTGAAATGCCTATTGGAATCAACGAACGCCTCATGACGCTTCGAGTACCACTGAATGCAGAGGATGACATCAAGTAGGCCTTTTATGCCGACCTCGGCAGAGTGCTAACCTCTATCCCAGAGAAGACAAGGTTGTGCTCCTTGGTGACTTCAATGCTAGAGTTGGCAGAGATGCTAACATCTGGCAGGGAACCACAGGGAGAAATGGACTAGGCAAGTGTAATCCCAACGGCCTACTCCTCCTCAGCAAGTGTGCTGCTCACAACCTCACTATCACCAATACCTTGTTTAGGCAGGCCGACA